ATGCCATCCATAAAGTTGGGAGCCCACGATCAACACCCTAGCAAAGTTCCTTGTGGAATACGATTCATTCGATGGGTTGCTACCGAACGAACAACAGAAGTGTAAGAATGCATTTTTTTTTTCAAAATCTAGTTTTTAAAATCTTTAACTATCGCAATACATGCCAGTGGTTACAGTATGTATTTCCTATGGTTTTAAACACTTTTCATTTGGCACTTCCTTGGGAACGCAAACTTTAGCAAGTGCAACTAAGAAAAAAAAAAAAAAGAAAAAAAAAAGCAACCACTTGTTACTTGCCTTTAAGAAACACTTGTGCACCGGCACTCAGTTGTATTCGAGGAGAGCTTGAAAAAGGATCAATTTATCGAGATTCAATAAAAGACGACCGGAGAAAAGAAAAGAAAGTTGTAACTGTGCTTATTCAAGTTCAAATTATGTAGGTTTTTGACAAAATAGCTTTCTCCATCGAAGAGACGTCGAAAGAAATTAAACATTTTTAAGAAGAAATTGACGGTTATGCCTTATGGAGATACAAAAAATTATAGAGTAAAAGACGGGAAAGAATAGACGATTGCCTCGAAATAAATTCAAATCAGCTAGTTTTCAAGTGTCACTTATTCACAAACATGGGTTGAGTTATCAAATGAAAAAATTCTACCGAATGTGATTTGAGAGTAAACGAATATCGCTTCAATCGAGTTTGCGGGTGGATGTACGACGGAAGTGATAAGGAAATCGCTTTTGGTTGAAATGGAGAAGAACTCGAGTTTTACCGAGTGTCGACTATCTAGGACTTTAAGACTTTAACATTAAAGTATGAGCCAATTTACTCATCAGACTCCATCCTTCTTTTCCCCCAGCTATCGCACGTGGGTACTTATTTTAACTTTTCTCGCGTATGCTTCGTATCATCTCTCAAGAAAACCCGTCAGTGTTGTAAAGGTGAGAAGAAAAAAACTACGATTAACAACATGTACCTCTTATATCAACTGAGTTCGCGGTCTGTGCTGCAAGTTACGGACCAAATGAAATTCCACTCGAGTTTATGGCCCAAGTGCAAAACGCGCTAGCCATAAATCTTTGCGGAAAAAAGCAAGGTTTCCTAACGTACAGTAAGGACCAAGAAAACGAACTGATATCTCTGGGTTCAGAGATTTCAGTTCAAACAAAGTTTTGAATTCAGCGGATCGCACAGTGAATCGGTTACCACACAAAACCGTGAAGCACTTAGTATTTGTTTCTTATTCAGGGAAAACTCACAGTTCACAATTGCACAACTGATAAATCATGCCGTGGATGGGCACCATTTGGTGAGTAAGTTATAAAATCTAAAAACGTTTAAGGAACTCCACACTTCACACCTCACCCCCTGTAGATATCAAGGAAAATGTATAAATTCTTCGAAACCTTTCGACTGTGAGTTTCCACAATCAGAGCTACAAAACCCTGACTGGTAAAAGGCAACCTAAAAAATCTTTACCTTTAATGACGAGATTGTGGGTATTTTGCAAAGTGAAGTAAAATATGGTAGGAAATCCAGCTCTTTTTCATTATTTTTTTGCGTGTAACCTATTGTTTCAGAGGTAGTGTGAACTACCGCTGACTGACGATGGGGTTGTTTTCAGTCACAGATTCTTGTTTGAATGATCTTCTTTTTGACCAGATTCCACTGATGATGGAGAGGAGCTTCTTGGAGCACTAGACGTTGCCTTCCTTTCCTCATATGCCATAGGCATGTTCATCAGGTACAGGTTTAAGTTTCTGCTTAATTAGGCCAAGGAGAGTGGATCTCACCTGTTTCCTTAACATTTACTTTCCTGATGCGTACTTAAAAATGAAATGGTAAATGTTTCTGCCATGGAAGAATGGATGATAATTCTTTCAGATAATTCGCCTTTTAATGTGGGAAACCATGTACATCAATACAGGTAGAAGAGGTATATTTAACAATTATTCCACGAGCGCACGTTGGATATGAGATGATAGATAGCCAACGAGACGCGTAGCGCCGAGTTGGCTATAATCATCTCATATCCAACAAGCGCGAGTGGAATAATTGTTTTATTGAAAAAACGCCCCCGAGATATTAGACAAATCTTCTCGACTTATTTTGTAAGAAGAAACCGGATATTACAATGTACAGATATTAGATTATGGTATATTGGCTCATATACCATAATGGCTAAGCCAATAAAAAGTCTTGAATTGCATTATCCAATGATCCAGTTTTTAATAATTAACAATTATTCCACGAGCGCACGTTGGATATGAGATGATAGATAGCCAACGAGACGCGTAGCGCCGAGTTGGCTATAATCATCTCATATCCAACAAGCGCGAGTGGAAAAATTGTTTTATTAAAAACGTTAAATTAAATTATTAAATTTTATTAAATTTTTAGCTCCCTTTTAATTTTAAGCTGCCACGTAGGCTCACCATATTTGTAGATTATGGTATATTGGCTGATATACCGTATAATATACCAATAAAAAGTCTTGAATGCATTATCCAATTATCTAGTTTTTAATAATAAACAATTATTCCATCAGCGCGCGTTAGATATGAAAAGGCAATTGGCCAACTTGGCGCTTTGCTATCACTAATCTGTTATCCAATGAGCGCGAATGGAGTAACTGTTTTCTTATTTTTTAATTTTATTAAATCCTGAACGCTAAGATATTTGGAGCCTTTTTTTCATTTCCGCAAGAGTGGTGTAATGTATTTCACATTTAAGGAGACTCGGAATATGAGCTGATAACCGAAATCGTGTGATCCAACATTTGGAGTTGAGAATTTAGTTATTCACCGAATATTGTTTCTCCTTGCAGTGGCTATGCCGCTGAGCACATAGACCTGAGGTATTTTCTGACTCTTGGCATGATATCCAGTGGATTATTTTCCGTGCTCTTTGGTTTAGGATATTTCTACAAAATTCACAACTTTACGTATTTTGTTATTATTCAGGTAAGTACCCCGAGCATCTTAAAAGAAAATATATATTTATGAAACCACCAATTTTGATGACAAAATACTTCAAAGAGTAAAGTTGGCGGCCGAATTTCGGGAAATATTTGTTGATTCCTTACTTTTAAAAATATTAATTTGGCTTTCCTACTTCTCTTTCAGCTGTTCTCGGGATTTTTCCAAGTGAGTATATAAACGATTGGTGGCTTTGTTGATAACGATCTTATGTTTTTAATTTGTTTTTACTAAATTAAACCAAAAGGTAGTACTAAGTCTACGAGATGATTTTATTTTTTTTAACAGAGTACCGGTTGGCCCACTGTAGTTGAATGTGTGGGAAACTGGATCGGAAAAAAGAGGTAAGAAACGTTATTAACCTCTCTGAAAGTGTTTTAATCCTCATGGAGTCCCAAACAGTTCTACAGCGAGCAGGAAACTCCATTGATTACCAAAGGAGTCCCATGGAAAGACAATGAAGCTCGATAGGGCTCAAAGGAGCTAAACAGAGTTCAAAGGAATTTTCTGGGGTCTTCTAGTTTTATGCAGCCCCATGGATCTTTACCAACCACCTCCCGGTTAGCTCAATTGGTTAGAGCGCCGGATTGTGTTGTGCGGGAGGTCGAGGGTTCGAGCCACGGCCGGACCAATACTCATGGTCTTAAAATAAGGGAAGAGAATTTGCTACCTGTCTATAATAAAGACAGGGATAGATATTCTAGTCTTCTCGGATAAGGACGAATAAACCGTAGGTCGCGTCTCCTGCAGGGTTAAGGGTAGGAGACGTTAATTTCCCACGCACGAGATTACTGTGTGGTGGATGTCCTCCCCTGGGTGGGATGGGTGGGTGTTGGCCCTGAAAAGCCCCTATGAGGGAGTGGTCAACTAACCTATGTATATTCTATGTTGCGTGCTTGAAGGAATTCCATGGAGTTCCATAAACATCGGTCAGATCCGGGAACTCATTTTTAGAGATATATCTGTTAAATAATTATACAGTTAGATTCATCATGCTTCAATCACGGCTGCGTTGATGTCAATGATTGTTTGCAGACGTGGTTTCATAATGGGAATTTGGTGTTCTCACAAATCTATTGGAGCTATCCTGGGATCCAACATCGCTAGTATATGGGCTAGTGACAAATGGTAAGGGATATGATTTATATGACAAACGGTGACGTTGCTGATAACTCTTTCCTTATTCGGAATTGGTCAGCTCAGACGACCACCACAAACCGTATGATATTAATCCAAGCTTTAATGAATATTCGATGTAAAAGAAATACATTTGTGATTCGAAATCAGAAAAACGCAAATAAAATCTTTAACTCGTAGCAAAATTCAGAAAGCTTGATTGGAAACTTACTTCTGTGGTGAGTCGTTAAAACAGTCTTAATCTACAGGTTCGCAGATTCAGGTAGGCAGATTTTTTAACAAACTATGAAACCGACTTTTTTCTCTTATCGATTCTTCTGAAAAACTTGTTTAAAACATAATAAGCTAACACTTTTAAATCACTGTATAGAATTAATGTAAATCACGAGTCTTGTAATCAAAATAAATCTCTCATCAAAAGGCAACGCCTATTTGCTAAAGGAAACAATAACTGATGCTTCACCTCTGTAATGGCATTTACCTTGGCGTTAATATTTCACTTTTCAACAGGGGATATTCCTTTGTTGTACCTGGTTGTATCATTGGTGGCGTGGCGATCCTTGTGTTTTTGTTCCTTGTTCTAGGTACGTTCTGTTAATATATGTTTATGAGAACCTCGTCAACAGTTGCACTATGGAAGATCCTTAAAATCTTTAGTAAGTGCTTTCCTCTTTACAGATCTGTGAAAATCCTGCTGTAAAGGATCACGATCTCTTGGGGTTCTGCAGAGATGGTAAAACACTTATTCTGGATGACTCTTAAATACATCTTTTTTTCAGATCCTACCTACGTGGACTGCCCGTCTCCACAAAGACGCTTTAAAGAGGTCTGCGCTGATAACCTTTTACGTAACTTTTGACTTAGATTTTTTTTAATGCCATTCTGTTGCGTTTTTTGATTAAATATTTTCACCCCTTTGTACCTTTGGATGCGGCCCCCTTCAAATCTGATTTATACCTTTGTCTTTTGCAGTCGTTTCCTGTTTATGCTACATTTAGTACGAAAATTGATGTCAGAGATCCAGTCCATCAGAAAGGTCTGGTGAGTACTCGTCAGTGTTAAGGAATAGGCTTTTGTTTTCGATAATTCGATCGTGATTTATTCTTCGGCTAGGAATTACCGCGGTATGTGTGATAATTCTTTGGAATGAAACATTCTCAAGATCCGTTTTCGCTATAATGCTCTTGACGTTTTCAAATTTCACTGACAAGGAGCTACCCAAGATCAAATAGAGAACTCGTTGTTACTCCATATTCAATAGAACTGTCACTTTACATTGTTATCAACATCGTCATTTGCTTTGCGCAATTTTCAGATGACGGACGATTCATCAAGTTCAGTTTGTTTGTCGCTGTCATCTTCGTCTTCCTCATCACTTTCGTCCCAAGAGAAACCCGATGCTATCAGCCCCTGGAAAGCAATTCTTATCCCAGTAAGTGAACACAAATGTTGTTACGATTCTAAGGAGAATGATGAAAAGGATCCCGTGGGTTTAGGGGGACGAAAAAAATCTTGTGAGGTTAAGCAAGTGAAGTCATCTAACGAGTGCTGGTTTGACCTGAATAAAATAACGTCTCAGTTGGAGTTAGAGCTATGTGTGAAGTTTAAATTGCCTTATGTTGTGAAATGGTCTTTATCAGTCTGCTACTGACTAGAGCTTTGCAAGACCAAACAGCAGGCCAAACACGTCTTTTTTCGATCAAAAGTGTCCGTTTGTTTTTCCCTATACGTTACAGAGGTATATATTGTGAAACGTTTCCTTAATGATGCCAAATTGCGAGCTTCTATGTAAAACATCTTTCAAATGATCTTAAGGAACTTACCACAAAATAAATAACTTGAGTGAACATAAAAATCTTCTTCCCTTCTTTAACGTTGCAGGGAGTGATAGAGTACTCGCTCTGTTTGTTCTTTGCAAAACTGGTCAGTTTAACATTCCTGTATTGGCTGCCATTTTACATTCAAACAACAAGTAAGTTCTTCCGTTTTATAGGTTTTCCGTTCTTTGCCTCCATTTTATTCACGAAAGGACACATCTGAGTTGGAGCGTAGGATGCAAGTCTCTGTATTATTACCTTACACCGGGTTTCTCTAAATCTTCGGTTGCTGTTTCCACTCTGAAACATGAATGGAACTAATAAACTGAGCATCTAGAAGCAATACCATGCAACGAAACTTAGACAACCTCCCACGATGTGGGCCATACGTTGGCTCATTTTCATATCGTTATCAAAAGGCAGAACCTTAATTTACATTTTTATGTCCTTGGAAAGCTTCGAGCGCCATGCTGTTTGGCCTTACTCGTCGTTATGAACTTGTAAGTTGTCAAACTGCTGTGAATCATAATACATATCATTGTTATGAGAACAGCATACATTATTTTAAAACGAAATAAATCCCACCTTTAAAGAGAAATATATGTACAAACTTAGTCGGTGCGTAGTAGAGCCCTTTCAAAACTTTCGGAAAATCATTAATCCATATCTAATTTATGAATTCCTTTTTCTTTTTTTCTTCAGAAATCGGTGGTGAATTTCATGGTGTAAGTTCGTCAGCAGAGTTTTCCGCATTCTTCGATGTAGGGGGAATGATAGGTGGGTGAAAGTTGTAATAACAAACACCTTACGGCTTATGAACCCATGTTTGCACTGACTAATAGCATAACCTGAAATTATTTCAACCCAGAGCTGGTTCGGCGTTGTGAAATGAGGCCTGTCTACAAAAAAAGCAACGCTACTCGTAGTTGTTTCCAAGGAAACTCAAGCCAGCCATGTTTCATCATTATTTCCTGACAACTGGTTGTCCGGCTGGAATCATATCTTACATCATCTAACTATTCCTCACTGCCTCCCCTTCTACTTCTGTAGTTAATACAGCTCTTTAGAATGGCAGAGATTTATTTGAAAGTTTCTTATATTCGGACAACTTTACTCAATTTTAGGTGGAATTTTGGCCGGATACATCTCTGACAGGACTGGCTGCAGTGGAATTGTTGTTGCAGTTATGTTGTTTTGTGCAGGACCTGTGGTGAGTTTTTCTGCATGTCCTGTTTTTACCTTGAATTAACGATTACATTCGATAAATTTATTTACCTGTCTTTCCATTTCCTTTAGCTCTCTATTTATAGATTCCTTGCAAACGTTACCATGACAGCTAATATTGGTAAGTTTTTATCAAGCAGTTTTTAAGAATTGAGTAATATCACACGCCTTTGGTCAGATCTCAGTGTTTTTGGCTATACCTGTTCCGTTGTTCTGTTGTAATCGTAAATGAAGTACTCAACAAAGAAAGATTATTTTGAAGAATACTTTTCAGCATAGCTGTCCATGATAAAATCATATATGCAGTTTATAGTGCTAAACTGCTCTTTTCTAGCCTAGGTGTCCATGATATTATCATATATGCAGTTTATAGTGCTAAACTGCTCTTTTCTAGCCTAGGTGTCCATGATAAAATCATATATGCAGTTTCTAGTGCTAAACTGCTCTTTTCTAGCCTAGGTGTCCATGATATTATCATATATGCAGTTTATAGTGCTAAACTGCTCTTTTCTAGCCTTATTGAGGATCGATCTCTGGTTTTAGGTTTGATGATAATAACTGGAATTTTGGTGAATGGTCCTTATTCTTTGATCACAACAGCGGTATCAGCCAATTTAGTAAGTTGACGTCTACTTCACCACTTATGAAAACATATCACGACAAACAACGCGACGTCGTCTATTTCGGAGCCAATAACAAATGCGCAGCTCTTCCAAATAGATGCCCCGGTGCATCGCTGCATGACCCAACCTCAGTGAATGCATTCCTCTCCCTTTCCACTCTGTCCAAAGTTCACAATCAACTCTCTTTGGCTCATAATTAAAAGCTTAACCGCTGGTATGGCGAAAGCTCAAAAGACTTTAAAATTCGACAAATACCTAGAAAAATTGTGCTGCTAGATAAATTTTGGCCAATTAGACGGATCGAGCGGCCAAGCAAACGAATTCCTCAGATAAGAGTCATTAGGTAATTAATCAGGTCCAGGTTCACTCTCAGAGTTCGTGATCCCAAGGGCATCTTTAAAAGCCAATCCTGTAGGGCGAATTTTGCTCACGGGAACATTCCAAATTGTGTCTGTTCGTTCTGGCCAAAAAATTCGAAACTGGGACCTTACGCAAACTTGGATGGCGAGGGCAACGAGAAAGATGTGGAAACAAAAATGCAAGATTTAAAGAACAGAACAATAGCCCAAAACGTGTGTTTTAACAGTGCGCATTTCCGAGCCGTTATGTTAACTGAGAACGGAAATTGCAAGAGCATTTTTTTCACGTTTGTTTATGGAAATCAGTGACACTTCTACATCCAAACTTACAAAGCTCTTGCGGCCAATGAATATGTTTTCCTTAGCGTTGCCGTCGTGGCTGCGTAAGGTCCCGAGTCAAGTAGGACACCAACTACACTAGACATACTTCTTTGGGGATTAGATAACCTGGGTCAACAAATTACCTAAAAGGGATAACGGGTTAAAAAGATTGGTATAAAGGTCTCCTTGACATATCCCCTCTTGCTCAAATTACTTTCATGTAACTATATTATCCTACTCTCGTTAAAATGATTGAAATCTATTGATACGAAAGTACGAATGCTTTTGTATTTCAGGGTTCACATCCATGTCTTAAAGGCAATACAAAAGCCATGGCTATGGTAACTGCTATCATCGACGGCACAGGTTCCATGGGTGAGGCCAAAAGTCATAGCTTTAATTTATCAAATGTTGTCAGATTTACCAGTAAACTGAACTTAGTCTTTCTATTTCCCAAAAACGTTGAAAAAATTAGGTTAAAAGGAGTCCATGATATTAAATTGTGTGGGGGTAAAGGAACGAACAAGGTGTTTCCTCTTTTGCAGGTGCTGCCCTTGGACCTCTTTTAACGGGTTTCATCGCACCTAAGGTATTAGTTTTTGTTCATTTTTATTTATTTGAGGATTTGTACTAAGTACTGGAGCAGAAACAATAGGACATGGGTCCCCTACGAGGTTTAAGCTCCAACAAACCCACCCATCCCACCCCAGGGGAGGACATCCTTCACACAGTAATCTCGTGCGTGGGAAATTAACGTCTCCTACCCCTAACCCTGCAGGAGACGGGACCTCCATTTATTCGTCCCTATCCGAGAAGACTAGAATATCTAACCATTTCTTGATGTTATAGAAAGGTAGCATATTCTTCTCAATTATTTTAAGACCTTGAGTGTTGGTCCGGCCGGGGCTCGAACCCTCGACCTCCCGCACAACAGTCCAGCGCTCTATCCATTGAGCTAACCGGGAGGCGGTATATATATATATAAAGATGGATACAGATCCTTGCATGTGTATAAAAATAGTAGATTAAAAATGAAAAAGGGTAAAAATGGTAAAAAACGCCATTAACGATAAGGAAATAAATATTTTGGTACAGGATGATACTCGGGTTTCAAAATG